CCGGGCATGGAGGTTGTTCCGGCGGAGAATACAAAAACAAAACAAAAAACCCCAATCGCAGCCCCTCTTCTGCGCCCGCCCTGAGTCCCGTGCCGGTAAGGGGCAGGTGGCAGTTCCCGCGAGCCCAGCGCGCTCACCGGGCTGCCAGCGCGGGCAGCAGTCCCCCCTTCAGCCGGGAAGCACCCGCCTCCCCTAGGAACTTAGGAACCTTTTGTTTTTACTTCGTAATTTAAGTTGTTGTTACTACAGCCTGGCGTTTTATAATGGTCAAGTTGTTGGTTACGTAGTAGAGCCTCTTTATTTTTCCYTCCCTGTCCCTCCATCGTTCTGTTTTTCTCCCTGCACCCCCAGCAGGTCTATTTTTCCTTTTTTTTCCCCCCTTCCCTCTGCACCTTGTAGTTGTTCATGATGTATCCAACATTTGGAAGGCTGCAGAGGGTTTAATTCTGCTCAGAGAATTTAATTCTCTCAGTTGCTGAATTTCGAATGTTTTCAGCTGCTACCGGAAAAACAAAACCCTGAACCTGTGTCCTCACAGAAGAGCAGGGGAAAAAATGATTTTCACTTTCCTCTTTTAGCAAGTAACTACACCCACTTCTGGTTTTGGTTTGATAATAATAAACAATTAAATGGAAACATCTTAAAGTCCAATGTTCTGCAGCCTTTAAGTGGCTTCCTTTCCTTTTTTTAAGGAAACTGGTAGAACTCTGTGTATTCAGAAAGGTGTGCTCCCATGTAAGGGTTTGGGCAGCTTTGACTGTTGCTAGGAACACAAAATGAAAGCTGCAACAGAGAGGAGGAGGTAGGAGGGAGGAACGGATGAAATGTGAATGATTGAGCCGGTCCTAGATGAAGCACAGGCAAAAGGAAGAAGCAGCACAAATCARTAGTAAAACACAGTCCAAAAGAGATCTTTTTTATAGGGATTTGGCAAATGTGCACTAATGAGTATGTGCCCCGTTGTAGAGAAAACCTTTGTCAAAGTGAGAAAACAAGAAACTGATGAATGGGCAGTGTAAGGACCTAGAGATGCCAAGCCACAGGGAATCCCCTTGAATAGTTTGTAGTGATAGTTTCCTTGAATAGTTTGCAATGATCATCTCCTTATATAATTTCCTCAGTTCTGTTTTGACTCCTGTAGGCTCATGACATAAATAATCACAGGAATGAAAAACTTTCAGTACTCTTAAAATAATATGGCCTTCTCATGATGCACATTTAAAATAATTTATAAAAAAAAAGCTATAACTGATCATTTAGGCCTCGTTTGTATAAGATGTTCCATGGCTGGACCTTAACTCGCCCTTAAGTTCCCCCTAGCAGAATGCAACCATTCCCATCCAGGGAAGAAGATGGAGGGGTTGTAAAGGCTTTAGGAAAAGCCTCCTACCTCCCTCAGAGATGAGACCAGTAGGGTTTTGCTGGTTTCTACTGGGAAAGTGATGGAGCAGGTACCACGCTAATGAGAAAGATGATGTCAGTGTCTCATACAGTCATCTTCACAGTTAAGTTCATCTTGTTATCTTATGATGCCCTGTAAAATATAGATGGAATTGAAAAAGCTCTGGAGAGAGCTTTGCAGTGTGGCTCAGGTTGTAGCAAAGTTRGTTGGATTTTTATGTATGCCTTTCATATGTATGTATTTGTTTTAATTCTRTCTTGCTTTCAGGATCAGGTGGGTTCAGAAAACGGAAGCATGACAATTTTCCACATGGCCAAAGAAGAGAGGAGAAAGAGAACGTTAATCCATCATCAGCTTTGATGATGTCTTTTAAATGTAAGTAAGAACTTGAAAGACCTGATTATAAAAACACGCAGTATAGAATTTGATGTATTTAGTAAGCTGATAAACCACCTTTCTCTGAGAAGAAATTTGAAACGAGATGAGCACATACACTTTTACACTTCATAAAACCAATATGCAGGACACATATTACACTGATCTAAAAACGTTACTGTTACCTGTGAAGCATTCATAATACTTTCACTGTTAGAACCAATTACACTTGCTCACTTTTCTAGCTATTCATTTTAGTTAGAACTTAAATCCATAAGTTGAAGGGTTCTTTCAAATAATTGATCTCATTTTATTTGTATACTTCTAATTTTTATGGAGCATTAAAATCACTTGATTTTTGATCAAGCCCAGCTTTTATATGAAATACCTTAAAACTTTGTCACCGTTTACATGTATTTAAACCCTACTTTATTAAGCAATAGTAGTAATAAATCTATTTGATAAATGAAGAGCTTTTTTGCTCTTCAGCATTGGCAATTCAAAGATGCACAGTTGCCTAGGGATGGAGGCTGGTGCGTTGTGCAGTTTTTCAGTGGTCCTTGAGCAAGTTCTACTGAAAGAGCTGAAATCACATAGAGGTGCCTGGGTGCTTGTGAGTGCCCTGCTCGGCACAGAGCTGCTCTGGGTCATCGTGCTCTGTTCAGAGACAGTTTTGCACCTTTGCTCATGATCTGAGCACATTTCGGATTGAGCTGCAGCTGAGGCGGGGTGGTGGTGACCTTAACAGCTGTGTCCTGTGCATGTTCCCTCCCTGGGAAAAAAGGCATCCCACGGGAGAAGGCCCTGGGGCTGGGGCCAGCAGCAGTTACTGCAGTGCTGGCTCTCTGCTCTCCCGCTGCGCTGTTGCACGTGGTCACTGTGCCTGTCACTGCTGTCATTGACTCTGCAGCCTTTCAGCTGGAGCTCGACACCAGGCACGACAAATACGAGCGGCTGGTGAAGCTCAGTCGTGACATAACCATTGAAAGCAAGAGAACGATATTTCTGCTCCATAGGTTTACCAGGTAAGTCACGTTGTTTGTGAAGAGTTTCAGGCTCATCATCTGTCACTGCTCTCTGTATTTGTGAGGAACTGCTGCAGTGTTCAGAGGGACCTGATTAACTTTCCACAAGTATCCCCTGGGCTGGATGTGAGCTAGTAAATGCACGCTCCAGTTTGAGAATTGAAAGGTGCTATAGGTGAAGTTTCTTAGCCCTTTTTATTGAAGTGTCAAAGGGATCAGAGTAGGAGGATAGGACAGGAAAAGAGAGCTTTCCAGCTTCCAGCGTGCTGGAAGAGAGGACCTCGGAAAGGTGAAGATACACCCTTCCTTCAGGTGAGCTGCTTCCCTGTTCTGTATTTTGCAGTCCCACTCTATCTCATCAAGGCAAAAAGGAGGGCACCTGGGTCCTGCAACCTAAGTGTCTTTTTGTATCATGTTTCTGTCTGTTCTGTCCCCTCATGAATTTTAAAGCAATCATCAGAAGTGGCTTGTGAAATGGAAGAATAACAGGAAAATTTGAAGCTTTCCAGAGCTTCTTGTACAAAATGCTTACTTTATATTTCAGATACTACTCTTGCATGTAATAACTGTAACAACTCTCCCTGTTTCCCTTCGCAACTACCTTYTGTACCCACCCGTGTGATTCTGCTATATTAGTAACTATATGATTACATTTATAAAAAGAGATTAGGAAGTTGACCTCTTTCTAACTTTGCCTTGTTATGAAAAGAGGTATTGTGGTAGTTCTAGTAACCACTGCAGCTCTGAGTGTGAGTAGCTGCTCCCTCTGCAGGGGCTAGATATGCTGGGAAAGAACAGCAGCAAAAAAAGCCCCACATGCTCTAGGTGAAATTTTAGATTCCTGTTTTGTAAGAACACTTCCATTTTTGAGGGAGTAGAGGCTTTCCATGCTGTGTTTCTACTTTCTTCTCCTTTTTTTTTCAGCCACCATTGTGGCTTTACTGTCAGAAATCCATTTGCTTTTAGATGCTTTTTTCAAGACCAGCAATCTCGAAATACATTGTACACCTAATTTGGCCAGCAGATTATTTGCAAGGGGGGAGGTAAAAGGATGTTAAATAAACTAAGTTTTAAATGCCTGGTATATATTGTGGTGTGGATGGGATATTACAGCTGTTCCTTARTAGCATAATCTACAATTACCTTAAAAAAGATATGCAAAATAAATTGTGTCCTGTATAATATAGGAAAATACTACTTTTTTCTTTTTTGCTGTGTTTCTCATTGCTCTTACTTAAATATCAGTTAAAATTATAGTCTGGAGAAATAACCATGCTGCCTAAAYTGTGTGTGGTTGGTTGATTATTTTCATAGCAGGAGGAAATCGGATTTTCTTATTCTGTTTTTTTTCTTGATGTAATTGATTGTGTATTCCTTATAAAAAAGAAAATGTGTAGTATCTTTTAGCTATTTTCTCCTCTTCTGAAGGCAGCTGTTTCAGTTTCTGTTTTATGATTGCAGTGCTCCTAATGGTGAAGAAATACTGAATGAATCTGAAGCCAAGTTAGATGCTGTTAGAAGGAAGATTAAGCAGGTTGCACAAGAACTCATTGGAGAAGACATGTATCAGTTCCACAGAGCTATATCTCCAGGTAARTTATGTACAAATAGGAAAATTAAGTTATTTTGGACTAATGTGTGTTTCATTTTTCTGTAACAGGTCTGAATTTTGCACATGTCAACAGCTAGATGAGGAGCTAGATTCATCTTTGCTGTCAAGTCAGCACTGATACAGGAGAGACTGTTGCTCCACAGGCTTTTCAGCATTGCAGCGAGATAGGGATTTGAATGGGATCCTGCACCTGGGGCAGTTTGCACCCTCACATAAAATAAAATTGGTCATAGTTTTCCCAAAGGTGCTAGGCAGTCATCTCTGACTGAGAGGGTTATATGTGAGATACCCATTTGCCCCAGCTGAAGGGTTATCATTTCTGAGAGGAGAGTRGGAATGACTAAATTGTGGAACTGTCCTATTGTGGATTATTTATATTCCCAAGCTAAAATCCTTAGGTTGGTGTTCTCTTTCCTCTAAAGAGCTGCAATGTGCTTCTCTCTCATAGCTTCTCAAGCATTAAATCACGGTGTATATCTGTTTCATTCRCATCTCCTTCTCTTTTAGGCTGTGTTTGTGGCAACATTTGAGCAAAATCTGCATCAGCTTCTTTAACATTTTGGTCAAAGTATAAATGGTGTCTCACATTTATCAAGCTTTAAATATGTTACAATCCTGTATGTCTTTCCTTGTTCAGGCAAGAATTCTCATTATTTGAGGAGAGCTGAAGATTGAATTCCCTGAACGATTGAATTGTTTTAAACTATCCGTAGGGTTGTTCCTACAAACTAGCAGCAGATAAATCTATRAAGAGATGTAATTTGCAAAACATTTGGGATGTAGGTTACCATCTACTTAAGTCTGTGAACTTAAGCTTGTGTAAGAGTAAAGCAATTGTTAAGTGAAAGCCAAGTTTGATGCTTCTGAGCTGGGAGGAGCTTGCCAGGCTACAGTCTTCCACRGCTAATTCAGTTACAGTCCTCTTACCTTGATGTATTTGTTTATTCAAATTACATATGAATATTTACTCAGAAGAGCTGATTAGGATCAATTTGAGTCGTGCTKCCATTTTAGCCCAGTACGATTACAAGGCAAAGTGGAACAAGACAGTTCAAATATCTGATGCTATTGCAAGGTAAATGCCCTCAGACTGTACATGCTGCTGGTCCAAATACTTCCGAGTCTTGCTGAAAATCCTTGGATTTTCCTGTTTAGTACTGCTTATAAAAGCTGAGACTCTTTGCATTCATTTTATAGGTGTCTGAACTGGTAACCACTATAAGCAAAACTTTCAAGCTATGCTGAGACTTGTAAACCTTGTCAGAATAACTTATGAAACCCATAGTCCTCCACAAATACCCTTGCCAGCTTGAAAAGKCAGACTTATATATAAAACATAGGTAAATTTAGTTACAGGTGGCAACATAAAGAAACTGATAAAAAAGGTGTTTTCTGTTCAGGTTTGCTGTATTTACTCAGCGTGGATACGCAGATACTCCGATTCTTTTTATAATCAATTTCTGTTTTGCATGAAGATCCTTAGAGATATCAGAATGGAACTGAAAACAACGAGTGTTTATAGAGGAACTGATGATACACTTTCTGAAAAGATTCAACATTTCTAAAACTTTTCCTCAGTGTTTTAAACCTGTCCCATAAAATTATTAGGATATATTTGTCTGTTGTTGAAGGGACCAAATTACTGTAGACCTCTGTTAGAGGAAGTTAGAGCCCTGCTGCCTCGGAGCCTCCACAGCTGCCAGGCACGTCCCCACCACTTGTTCATGATTTGGAGGAAAGGGAGATTGTCACAGGATTCTCTCAAGAAGATGAAACTTACTGGTGTCTCCAGGCAAAGGGAAGGGAAGAGGTGTCAGTGCACTAAATCATTCCAGGGAGCAGAAGCAGACTCTGCTCCCCCAGCCTGCCTGTTGATCAGCTCTGCAGTCTCTCAAACAAATTCCTGAGCTCTGCAGTTTTGTGCGTTGACACAAAAGAAAGAAATACGCAGCCCAAATTGCTTTTGTGGAGTGACTGTAAGTTGCGTTGCTTGCAGTGGGATTTCTTGGAGTAACAAAGGGGAAACGACTGTGCTTTTACCTTGTGTTTTTKTTGTTGTTTTTTTCCTTTCTTTCTCATGACTCAGTCACAAGTCTGTGTAGTCTCCTCAGTTGCAACATACTGCCTGGCCCTGAGATCTCCCAGTTGTTTCTGTAATTAGGTAACTCTTGCCTCATTAAGGAGACTGGATGTAAAATCCAGCTGAAATGCAGTGGCCTTTGTTCCATTCCTGCAGGCCGTCCCCAGGGTCTACTTTAGCTCTGTCTCTTCTACGTGAAGCACCTCTGGGGGGGAGGTTGTGCCAGCTAGTGCCCATCGTGGGTGTTCAGATATGTGCATTTATAACTGAGAAGACAGGCAGTGCTTTCAGAGCTAGGTCCTRGAGGAGCTCGTGGGCACACAGTAAGTGCTAAGCGCAATTTTCTGCTAAGCTTTTCTCTCACCTTGTTCACTGCGTCTTCTACTCTCCAGTTAGTCTTAGGGGTGACAAAGAGGATGTGCAGACTGAGACTTGCAGGTCTTGACCACGCTGAAACTGGGCTCGAGGAGATGGTATGGATGCAAAGATCATTGCTGCCAGGGCTATGAAGCTTCAGTAGAAAACCTAGAGGCATAAAGAATAAAGAGGCAGTTAGATGAAGAATCTTTCTTTCTTT